AAAAGGTTTTAAAATTGTTGCTAATTTTTCTAAGATTTGTGTGAAGCAAGCATAGAGAATCTGCAGATTATTTATTGTTAGTTAATTGATGACTGATGAAGAAATTTTAAATGACTCAAGCACCTTGACAAAAGCAATTGGCAAAGCTGGCAAATTGTGTTCTTTGGAATGGTTGGCAAAATATTGGCTAATTGCCAATCAGTTCAAATGATCAAAATACAAGCAGTAATGTGGGATGAACAGAAAGGATAATGCTTGTGGTCTTGCCTAAAATCTATAATTAAAAGACTATCTGGTTCAGAGGAAGAGATGCTTAACTTATTTTAGCAAATTTATATGGTGAGAGCAAATGAAAGAAATGTCTAGAAAATGCCTTTTATAAAATTTAAAATTACAATTACTTATTGTTATGTATTTATTTAAATTTTCTTCTTCACAGACAATTTCATAAATTTATTAATAACAAAATTTTTTTTCTTAATAGTAAATAATGATAAATATTTCATTATAGTTGGCTCACATATTTTTATGATCTTGTAAATAAAAAAATTATTCTGGCAAACAAACAATCTAATAAAGAAATAGTGTTTAATAATTTTGTTGTCAGTTCTCTGTCAAGACAAAGAAAATGTATAAATCTACATTGATGTGTTTGGGTTTTATTTAAATTCTAAAAATAACTTTATAAAGACAATAAAAATTGTTGAGGGAGTCAAAAGTGTATACGGTAATAGCAATGTCAAGAGAAAAAAATGTCATTTCGACAAACAACTTTTTTTCAGGTATGAAAGTTAAACTTTGCTGGATTTTCAGTGTAATATTTATAAGGGTGGTTTTATGGACAGTTGTTTTGCAGGATTTTTCAATTTAATTTAGGGCAAATTTTTCAGTTTAAGTTTGGGTAGGATTTTTCATTTTAATTTCAGATAGATCTTTCAATTTAATTTAAGATAGATCGTTTAATTTAATGTAGGGTAAATTTTTAATTTAATTTATTCTTTCAATAAGTAAACTAAACTTTAAAACTGATTCTTGGATTGTTAGAAAGTTTGTAGCATATACCAAGCTCTTATGAGGAAAAAGCAAATATTTTGGCCTTTCTGTGAATTCTGAATTATAACTTGTATAGTTTATGTCTCTAATAGCAGTTTATGTAAAACCCATTTGTGTGTGTGTGTGTGTGTGTGTGTGTGTGTGTGAAATGCCTTGACAAGAGGTGGGTTTAAATATTATTAATTACAAACTATGAAAGCAAAGAAAAATTTACAAGAAAAATTTTATTACCATAATTGAAATAATCATCAGTTGAGTGTATTAAGTACCTCATCATTCAGGACAAACACATTGCATTGAGATACACAAAAGAAGCAAAATAATTTAAAAAATATCTATTGAAGAAGAAAGAAAAAGAGCAAAATGATTAAAAATAGCAAAAGAAGAAATCACACAATATTGATATTATTACTTATTTCTTTCATAGTTGCAAATAATAACTAAAGCGCGCGCACGCACACACACACACACATCAATGTGTGGCTGGTGTAATTATTATTAGTTTGGAACATGGAATTGTTCTGCTAGGATTAAACTCTGGTTGCAATTATTGTATTCACTTCATACTAATATCCTCAAGAAAAACATGAATTTCTCTCTTCTACCCCCAGCTATTGGTAAAACAGAAGGGTAGACTAAGCTCTATAGTCTTGGTTGGTCAACAAATCATGAAGAAAGACAACTTTGTATTCAAAACTGTGCTAAAGGTAGGAGGAAGACAATTGACTATCTTTTCCTTACACAGTCATGACAACTCAGAGATATAATAAAAAGAAAATTGGAGAGACACATGATCACTTATTGTTTGTTAACCTTTAATTCATTATTTATTATCAATTACTTAGGGTAGGTTTCCATTAATTATTCACAGTGGATTATTATTATTGAATATAATTAAAATATATATATATATATATATAATATAAATAAATTAAATATATTAAATTAATTAAATTGAATATAATTAATTAATTAAATTGAATATAATTCAAATTAAATTAATTAAATTAAAAGTATTGAAATGTAATCTATTTTAAATAAAGCCAATACTTTAAACATACAAGCTAGCCAACCAACCACCCTCCAAGGAAAAATAAATAAATAATAAATAAAAAATCAAGTAAATAAATTATAAACAAATTAACAAACTGTATGAATGCACATATAATAATAATAATAATAATAATAATCGGCAGCAGCAGCAGTAAATGATGTGATAAAAACAAAAGTTTTGTAAAATTGAATGTAATTGGCTAAACTGTGTGTCTAGATACATTGGACACCAGAAATTTAAAATTTAAATTTAGTGTCCCTTCATCTTCAACATTCCTCTCAATGTAAGTTTTTGTTTATACTTTTGCCCCCTCCCCTAGATATAAATAATTCAATCAATAAAAACATTATTTTAAACTGATGAAGGTCTTTTGAAGGATGAAACACATTACATAGAATTTTTTTCCATTTTGTCATTTCTATATATATATATATATATATATATATATATATATATATATATATATATACACACACACACACACACACACACACACACACATATATATATATATATATATATATATATATACACACAATGAATTGTACTATTATAAATACATAAGGCCTATATGCTTCCCTGATCATTACAATCTTTGTTCAAATCTAGGGTAAACCACTAGGCATCCTTCATATCCTTAATCCTTATAATCTGTACTTACGTCCATGCAACAACCTCATTTAGTAGCCCTCTATCTTGAGTGGCCCTCGGGCCTAGTATTGGGTGAAAATTTAGTGAAAAAAATCCAAAATCACTATAGTATTTATTTTTATATATATGGAGATATTTTGTTATATTTCTCTTTTAATATATATTGAGAATATGCATGAATATGTGTTCAGTTATCCATTAGTGAATTTCTGCACATGTATTCTAGCTTTTACAAATAATGTGCGTAATAGTATAAAATAATGAATGAAGTATACATTAATAATTTAACTTTGATTCAATCAGTGCAGGTATTTTCCATGCGATAGTTCAAAGGGAAATAACTCATCCGCAACTGAGGACAATGTAATTCAAAGAATGTTAAACAAAAAAAAAAACTTTCTTGAAATGTTTTATTTTGCAGAGTTGGTAGGAAGGAAAAAAAGTAACTTATGTGTATATGGAATTTTGGTCATGTAACTTGTTTGTTAAAATTTTATATAGAATGTCAGTGTTGAATCAAAACAGAATAAACAAAGCAAATGATGAAAAATACTGCAAAAATAAAGGAATTTGTTCTGAATAATTGCAGAAATTATGTGAAGGAATATTATTATTTAAAGAAAAAATGCTAGCATAACATTTCTTGCTATTTATATTTCATTCAGAAATATAGATATATATGTTTGTATTACTATAAACATTATTTTTAGTGGTTACAGGTGTTTGAGTTGACATGAATGTTTCTTAAACAGTGAAATTAATATCAGTTGATACAGGTTTAGTTCCTGTAGGAAAGGATTCTCAATCTAGTCTGATTGATCTTAATTTCACTGTTTAAGAAAATAAATATAGGAATGTCAACTCCAATATTTGTATTAATAAATTTAGCATTTATAGTAATAAAAATATATTAAACAGTAAAATATTTATTTATATTTGAGAAAACTTATTAAAGAAAATATGTGGTACATATTTTTCTTTACTAAGATCTATCGATTATTCAGTCAGTCTGGTAAATGAAAACAAATAAATATACTGTTTAATAAATAAACTGAGTTACTACTCATATATGGGTATCCACTGATAATAATGTTTAATAAAATCTGTTGAATTAATAAATAAATCCATTACATCTTTAGAAATATATATATATGTATGTGTATCTTTGTGTGTTTGTGTCTTTAGTTAAACAAATAGTTTTCTATTGTGAATTCTGTCACTAGTTTTTAAAAATAGGGTTGCTGGGAACTTTTGAACAAACCTTAAGTGTGTGTCTGTGTATATATGATAGGATAAGGAACAAATAGGAAACATTTATAAATCTTAAGTTTCATCAGAAATGAAATATAAAGGAAAAAAGAAAATTTTGGTATTTTTTATTTTTGTGTTGTCTGTTTTTCATTGGTTAAATATATCTTGTGTATTTGTCTTTTGCCAGAATTATACACATGAATGTTACTTGACAAGACAAATATACATGAAGTCTACTTAATTAATGAAAAACAGACAACACAAAAATAAAAAATACCAGAATTTTCTTTTCTCTTTCATATTTAAATAAATTTATAAATGTTTTCTATTTGTCCCTTTTCCTATCATTCTGTTGAATTCTAATGCATATTTGATCCCAAGTCATATATATATGTGTGTGTGTATGTGTTCATTTGTCTGTCTTTAATAGTGATAAAACCTTTGACTAAATCTTAATTAAGATACTTCAGAAATTATACAAATCATGAGAATGAGAGACAAATGTCTTTAAAGAAAGCTTTCATTCCTTTTAACTAAATTCATTTTACTGTTATACCTGTATGATCACTCAAGTTAAGCAACATCACGCCTGGTCAGTAGCTAGATGGGTGATCACTTGGCAATACCAGCTGCTGTAAGCTTGTATGTGGGTGCTATAATAGATAATGGCTCAGTATTGTTAATTGGACAGCAGTGTTCCAATTCAAGTTAGGTTTGTTATATTCACTTACATGCAAATACACATGGGAATGGTAGGAATCCACTTCTTTTCTCTCTAGCTATGGGTTAATTAGTAAGACTTGTATCACTAAATCATTATTATCTCCAAAAAATTCTTACAATTTAAAAATATTTTCTGGTTTTAAATAACCTGCAAATGGTTGATAAGCCATAAAGAAAATGAATCACTCAATAAAAAAAATCACTGTTATAGGACATCCTTTATTACAGGGACTATGTTTGTGCATATTAAGAAAGCACCTGCACTCTAATGCTCAAGACATCTTTATCTCTCTCATCACTAAAGGAATTATTATTATCTCTTGCATCAGTGGAGGAATTATTAACTCTCTCTCTCTCTCTCATCACTGGAGAAATTACTATTATCTCTCACATCACTGAAGGAATTATTATTATTATCTCTCTCATCACTGGAGGAATTATTATTATTATCTCTCGCATCAGTGGAGGAATTATTAACTCTCTCTCTCTCATCACTGGAGAAATTACTATTATCTCTCACATCACTGAAGGAATTATTATTATTATTATCTCTCTCATCACTGGAGGAATTATTATTATTATCTCTCCCATCAGTGGAGGAATTATTAACTCTCTCTCTCTCATCACTGGAGAAATTACTATTATCTCTCACATCACTGAAGGAATTATTATTATTATCTCTCTCATCACTGGAGGAATTATTATTATTATCTCTCGCATCAGTGGAGGAATTATTAACTCTCTCTCTCTCTCATCACTGGAGAAATTACTATTATCTCTCACATCACTGAAGGAATTATTATTATTATCTCTCTCATCACTGGAGGAATTATTATTATTATCTCTCGCATCAGTGGAGGAATTATTAACTCTCTCTCTCTCATCACTGGAGAAATTACTATTATCTCTCACATCACTGAAGGAATTATTATTATTATCTCTCATCACTGGAGGAATTATTATTATTATCTCTCGCATCAGTGGAGGAATTATTAACTCTCTCTCTCATCACTGGAGAAATTACTATTATCTCTCACATCACTGAAGGAATTATTATTATTATCTCTCTCATCACTGGAGGAATTATTATTATTATCTCTCGCATCAGTGGAGGAATTATTAACTCTCTCTCTCTCTCATCACTGGAGAAATTACTATTATCTCTCACATCACTGAAGGAATTATTATTATTATCTCTCTCATCACTGGAGGAATTATTAACTCTTATTATTATCTCTCGCATCAGTGGAGGAAATTATTAACTCTCTCTCTCTCTCATCACTGGAGAAATTACTATTATCTCTCACATCACTGAAGGAATTATTATTATTATCTCTCTCATCACTGGAGGAATTATTATTATTATCTCTCCCATCAGTGGAGGAATTATTAACTCTCTCTCTCTCATCACTGGAGAAATTACTATTATCTCTCACATCACTGAAGGAATTATTATTATTATCTCTCTCATCACTGGAGGAATTATTATTAATTCCCATCAGTGGAGGAATTATTAATCTCTCTCATCAGTGGAGAAATTACTATTATCTCTCACATCACTGAAGGAATTATTATTATTATCTCTCTCATCACTGGAGGAAATTATTATTATCTCTCACATCAGTGGAGGAATTATTAATCTCTTCATTGGAGAAATTACTATTATCTCTCACATCACTGAAGGAATTATTATTATTATCTCTCATCACTGGAGGAATTATTATTATTATCTCTCCCATCAGTGGAGGAATTATTAACTCTCTCTCTCTCATCACTGGAGAAATTACTATTATCTCTCTCACATCACTGAAGGAATTATTATTATTATCTCTCTCATCACTGGAGGAATTTTTATTATTATCTCTCGCATCAGTGGAGGAATTATTAACTCTCTCTCTCTCATCACTGGAGGAATTATTATTATTATCTCTCGCATCAGTGGAGGAATTATTAACTCTCTCCCTCTCATCACACTTTAGCTTCCAATATTAATGGTAAAATAAATTTAAGTATAAATATTCAATGTTTTTTTTAAAAACAAGAAACAAAGAACAAAAAATATCAAAAACAAAGTCTACATATAATTTAGAAATATTTACATTTAAATGATAAAAATAAATGACAAATTTAATAATAATAATAATGGCCAGAAAAGAATTAATGGAAATGGTAGCTCAAGTGGTTGAAGCAAAAGAAATAGCATTAGAAATAAATTTTTGTCGTATGCTATAAATAACAATAATAATAATAATTTGTAGACATAATAATGACAGTCTTATACATAATAGAGATGATTGATACATTCGTAATGGTGTCTGTTACAGTTATACTATTAGAAGAAGCAGTAGCAATATCAATTATAAAAGTAAGATTGTTAATGATGGCTACTGTAGTTACAGTAATGGCTGTGGTCATCACAATGGTAGTGGAACTAGTAGTAGCTATAGCAGTGATGCCATATTTATCTCAACAGTGATTAAATTATATAGCAAAATGTGACATGTTGGGGAAGTCATCTCTTTTAAGAAAAATAATTCTTTTACTATATTAATATATTATATAGTAAAAAATTAGAAGTTGTTTTGTTATGATTTCAGTAATAAGTTGGGGGTATTTTTTTATTCAATTTAGAACTTGAATTTGTCCATGCTTAGAATATTGGTACCACATATGGTCCAGTGCTCCTGCTATTTATCTGAAGCTCTTTGATAAAATCCAAAGAAAAATCAGCAATATTATTGGTCCTGATCTGGTGGCTTGGCTTCAGTCACTTTCCCACCACTGTAAGTTGCTTCTCTGTGTCTGATTACTCTCTCCTCTTCCTGCTCATTATTAATATTTCTGTCCCTAATTTTTCCACACCCTATAACTCCTTGTATATTAGTAGCTATACCGCTTTGCATGGAGTGATACCAACAAAAAAAAACAAACTTTTTATGGCTTAAATAATTACAAACAGTAACAAAGATAAAAAAAACTTTCAGGACTTTTGATCAGCATATGGTTTGTTGATTCCTCTATGACTACACAGTTGTTATTTCACAAGTTATTAGTAAAGAAATTAACCATCAATTGAATGCTTTATGAATGTTGCCTTGTGCCATACTTGATACTAAACAATTTTTCATAGTATTACAATAATATTAATATCAAGCACGATTGAATCAATTAAAAATGTAAACTTTTTGTACAGTGATTGGAAGATTTGTAGCTATAAATCTTCTTTAATATCAATTAATTTTCTTGTTCCTACTAATTAGAATGTGTGGCTGGTGTAATGGATAATGACTCAGAATGAGAAATTGAAGATCAGAGTTCAAATTCCAGTTGGGGTATTTTTATATTTACTTAGAGAATATACATTTCTACAGAGCTGGTGAGTACTACCATTGAGCTCCTCAACTGGAATTGGAGCTGATTGGGGGCTCTGGGCAATGTTTTGTGACCCTTACTATCTTATCAACATTTGAATTTTTTATAATTGCATTTATACATATTACAAATTAAACTAAGCAGAACAAACTATTAAAGGAGGAAAAATTTTTGCAGATTTTGACATCATTCTGGGATTTTTTTTTGTCTAAATCTGTGAATTTGCTTTGCTCATACTAAATCTTGAAAAAAACACTATAAAATTCACTATTTTTTAATCATAATGTCCTTTTTAATTATAATGTCCTTTTTAATAAGAATAATCTAAATTTAATGTTAAAAATTGATGCAAAACATTGTTGATTTATTTAATGCAGAATGATATGACATTTCTAATTTGTATTTAGATGCATTGTATTTATTTTCAGTTTTTCTAGTTGAATTGTTCACCTATATTGGTGTAATGGAGAATGTCCAGGAACAAAAAATCAGCAATCCAAGTTTGAGTTTCAGTTAAGTTTTGCACAAACATGTCTATTTTGTTCTTGATGCCTGATATTATAGATGAGTGTTGGAAGAAAAACTTAGCAATGATAGTTGATTTTCCTTTGTTTATTAAGACCTGGATCAAGCTTACGAACTCATTAGACTGACCTCATAAAGTAAGTGTCCACACATCTTATACAGCACTAAGAACACTTAATTACTTTATAAAACAAACTTCACTGCAAGGAAAATTGAAAATTTTATTTTTATTGTATATTTCTGAAAAGAATATATAGATGTTATTTCTACTTTTCCTTCAGTGAATAACATTTTTTATGTTTCATTTAAAAGATGTTTATTGCTCAGTATCTGTCTATATTTCTGAGATAAGGTATTATGTGCACTATTTACATTATTCAGACTATTATCCTCATCTTTGTCACCATATTTATTACAATGTTTCAGCCATTCTATGCTCCAGCTTACTTCAGGTCGTTGGAATGTTGAACTGAACCCTTTATTTCGCTCACTGAGGTAGACTGTTCTAGTTCCACATGCCATGTTTAATAGATATCAGTTATCAGTTATTTCCTGTTAATTCCCCTCTCCAAGTTCTCCACTGCCTTAACTGAGCATTGAACTCACACTCATTGGGTCATGTCATTGGATCTAACCAATGCCTTTATCCACTGTGCCATGTGTCCTTGATGTTGTTAAACGTTTGGAATCCTGACACTCAGATAACAACAAAAACCTGGGTAGATGAATCCCAAGAGTGGTGACCACAATACCATTTGAATTCACTTTTTTTCTCTTCATAGTATATTAATATGAATTGTGCTCAAATATTGCCATCCTTCTAATTCATATAAGCTGTGTCTCTTCAGGACATAGGCAATCATGACTCACCACAATTTCCAGTTTTTGTAACTTTTAATAAATTTTTTCTCTTTTTGTTATCTCTCCTAAACCTTGTTCTGCCATCCATTTACTCAATCTTTCTAGGTAGGTCATGCATTGTTTTCCTCTGTCCCTCTTGCCTTTAATCTGTCTTGTGAATATCAAATTTTTCAAAGTTTCCTCATCATATGTTTACACTATTTATATTTGGACTATTGTACTCATCAATGTTTTTGCTATTACAATGTTTTGGATATTTTAGCCTCAGGCTTTCCTCAGGAGTATATCAATTTGGGTAACCTACTGGGAAATCTGAACTGAACCCTTTATTTAACCTATGGGGGCAGACTGTTCTTGTTCCACTGCTCATATCTAGGGATATCATCTAGCTCTTAATTTTATTTTAGTTCAGTTATTGCTCACATGTTTCCACTGCCTGGCACAGGGACTGAACTCTCAATCATTATGTCTCATAAACCAACACTTTTATTCCACTGGGCCTAGTCAAGAAGGCTGGAGGGTACAGCAGCCAAAATGTTGTGATAATAGTCTGAATATAAATAGTGTAAATAATGATAACTACTAATCCCAGAAATTCAGCCAAAAATTTCTCATTAAATGTCCTAATGATTTCAACTGTATCTTTTTGATTCTAAGTGTAAGTTTCTGTTTTGTTTCCATTTTCTTGGTTCATGGTATTCTCAGCATCCTTCTGTAGAACCACATTTCTGTTGTTGCAAGTCTCTTTTTCATCCATGAGGAGATTATCCAGCATTCACAGCCATATAGGAGGACTGATATTATGTAACAATTCAATTCAGTACTCTTTTCTTTGTTTCTAATGAAATTTTCCTGTTTCTTAATAATTTGCTTAACTTTTGGAAGTCATCATGCATGAGAAGTTAGGAAAAAATATGAATTTTTATTATTAAATTCAAGTTTCTGATTATTAGCTGATTATTATTCACTATTATAAATTATTTTTTTATGTTCATTGATATTTTGCTATACAACACTATATTTTCAAAAGGTTTAAAATCTTATTGCAAAATCAACACAGTGTTATATTTGAACTTAACAACTTTACTAAAATATTTTAATAAAAATCATAAATATGAATGATAGACATTATTTTAAGTAAGAGGGTACAAATAAAAACAAATTTGAAATTCACAATTTTTTCCATTTCACTGAAACATTTCTGTCTTCCTGTCTTTCTTTCCCTTATTTATTTTCTCACTGAATCCAAGTAGCGTCCCTGATATGTCTCTTCTGTCTTTCAGAATAGTTCATTATTTATGAAGTATAGGCAAGGAGTAATGATTGTGCTGAGGGAGAGACAAGCAGAATTATAAGATTGGACACACAGTCTGATCTCCCATTCTTAGTAATGAGATATTCCATTATAAACAGCTGACCACTATTCAATGCTATTAAGTGAATATACATTTTGTTAGTAGAAGAATATTCCATTATTAAGTAAAGGTGGTAAGACTACTAATACATTGTCGTTTATTTTTTTTGTATTTAGCTATCATGAGATATTTTTTAATGATTAAGGAAGTATAATACTTCCTTACAAGTAACAATAGAATTAATTGTGTAGAGTCACTCAACTATTAATCTTTTTTGAATATCACCACTACCATTTGTTACTTTATTTTTTTTTAATCATTTCACCCCCCAAGCAAGGTAATAAAGCCACTAAGATGCAGGGGGTTACTGAGTGTGAGATGATATGACAAAAAAAAAATTAAGTAGCAAGAACAATAAAAGAACAAAACTTAAGAAGTTACAAGATAGTGATTGGCATTGCATTTAAAGTTTTGAAGATCAAACTTAATTGGTAAGCAAGAAGCCAGAAGAAAATGCCACAAGTAAGAAGTGCAAGAGAAGAAACTGTTAGCATAGAACTTATGGTTACATCTTGTCATTTCAACTGTAAGATGATAAGACCTTGTTGCTGCCAATCTAGTATTATGTATATATTCATAATGCCTAGATACCAAAGAGGAAAGCTCATCAGAACAATTAGCATGAAAATATTTGTAGAAAATGTACAAGAAAGCTATGGTCTGTAGGACTGAAATGAATAATTAGTCATTTATATATCTTGACTATTTCAAACCACCTTAGTACTGACTACAATAGTATGCAAGATTAAAAAAAAAACAGTATATATTTCTGATTTCTATCTTGAGTTGGAAACAGTTGTAGAGTTAAATTCTAATTAG